GTGTTATGCACAAACAATGAATCATGGAACACTACATCAAAAACTAATGATGTAATGTATGGTGATAATGATATAATGTATCATTCCTTTTGATAGCTGCATAATATTCCATTGTGTATATATACCACATCTTCTTTATCCATTCATCTGTCGATGAATAAGAAATAAACCACAATGGGATATCACCTCACCCCTGTCAGAATGACTAAAATAAAAATTACAAGAAAGAACAGCTGTTGGTGAGGATGTGGAGAAAAAGGAACCCTCATGCGCTGTTGGCGGGAATGCAACCTGGTGCAGCCACTGTGGAAGGGTATGGATGTTTCTCAAATAATTAAAAATAGAACTACCCTATGATCCAGGAATTGCACTACTGGGTATTTACCCCCCCAAAATACAAAAACACTAACTCGAAAGAATATATGCACCCCCTCTATGTTTATTGCAGCATTATTTACAATAGCAGCCCAAGTGTCCATCAATAGAGGAATGGATAAAGAAGTTGTGGTATATATACACAATGGAAGATTACTAAACCATAAGAAAGAATGAAATCTTGACATTGGCAACAACATGGATGGAGTTAGTATAATGCTAAGTGAAATAAGTCAGTCAGAGAAAGACAAATACCATATGATTTCACTCATGTGGAGTTTAGGAATCAAAACAAACAAGGGGGAAAAAAAGAGACAGACAAACCAAGAAACAGACTCTTATTAACTGTAGAGAACAAACTGATGGTTACCAGAGGTGAGATGGGAGGGGGGATGGGTCACTTGGGTGATGGAGATTAAAGAGTACACTTCTCATAAGCACTGAGTAATGCATGGTATTGTTGAATCACTCTATTGCACAGCTGAAAGTAACATAACACTGTATGTTAGCTATACTGGAATTAAAATAAAAAACTTAATAAAACAAAAAGGAAAATTGGTTTCTTTGAAGATGGGCTCAAATTATGGAGCACTATTGATGTTACTCTTTTTTTTTCTTTTAAGATTTTATGTATTTATTTGACAGAGAAATAGCGTGCAAGCAGGCAGAGGGAGAGGGAGAAGCAGGCTTCCCGCTGAGCAGGAAGCCTGACGTGGGGCTCGATCCCAGGACCCCGGGATCATGACCTGAGCCAAAGGCAGACGCTTAACCACTGCGCCACCCAGGCACCCCCAATATGGCACAGCTTGAAGGATTGTTTGTTTCTACTCTTAACTGAATAGTATTTGTTTAAAATTGATGGTAGACATTGCTATTCTCAAAGTTAATGAAGTCCCAAAGTCTTAGAATTTCAAGAAAAGAATACTGTAGTAGCAAGCATATTTTACAACCAGAAAAGCATTTGTTGACCAATTCTTTAGTTTTTATACTTAGTGCTTTTTTTCATTAAGAAGTTTCAAACTTTTCCTCTTTATTGAATTATATGTTAGTCTCATTTGCAGCATCTGTACTCTGAAAACAGTAAAGTAAGAGTAACCACAAAGTACTAAGACTTTTGTTAGGTTTGTAAAGACAGTCTCATTACTCTACAGTCACAGAAGAGTTTTACTCTTCATTTCATGGCATATATTCTCTGCATATACACAATATGGCCCTATTTTAGGATGCTAGATAGTTTTTACTCTATTACCTTTAGGTTTTTTAATGAAAGCATAGACATTATGATCACCTTTAATGGTTGATGGTCAAAACAAATCTTTATCTGAGTTTTATATTTTACAATCCTATGCTTCATTACTAGCTTCATCAGTTCAAAAATACAAACATATCCCATGAAAACGTGAGTCTCCAAAGGATAGGTAACTAGAGTATTTTAAGATAAACAGAATCTATCTGCATTACCAAGGCTATAAAGATGCACTCCTCAAGGTGGCAAATGAATCAAGACTAGTACTGGTTTCAAATACCAAATGACAGAGAAGTTACAAATGGAAATTGATATAACTCCTCACTTTTGAGAGGAGTCAAATGTCAAAAAGGAACACAGAGATCTCAAAAACCAGGATGATATATAGAAAAATGGTAGAAGGGATGAACATAAAGATAAAAGCTGCTGTGCACTCTTAACATGATGAGCTTACATGATTAATTCAAGACTTAAAAAAGAGGTCTGAGAACTTCACCATCACTGGAATATAATTTTGAACTGAAACAAATAAAATTCCAGACATGTCACTAGGAAGAAAACATGATGCTGCTCTCAAGTGAACCATATGCTTGAGTCTGGAATACTGCTGAGTGTTCTTGTATACCCTATAATAAGTTACTAAATCACTAGTTAAAATAGTGGTATATTGATAAGACACATGATAAAAGAGATAAGAAGATTACAGTCTGAGCAAGAGATTCAAAGTTCCACTAATACATTTTAGGACTTGATGTAGTAAAACATTTAAAATTACATGCAAAAATATTAAATTTTGAGGACCTGGAAAGCCCATCGACTATTCTGAGAGACAGGTAATTTCAGGGAAAGGGACTTCAATGCATATCGGATTGAGGAATGTTTAGAAAACCTTGCTCACATAAGTCGGCAATAAAAAAATGTCCACCCCACTGCTTGCAGGGAGCTTATTTCTGGAAAGCACATTCAATCCCGTGCCTCCATTAGTCAGAGTTTCTTTTTATTGATGGCACATGCCATAGTCTTGTCTTTTCAACAGAGTAGTGATTCTCCTTGGGTGAGCAAATTTGAATTTCCAAGAATGTGGAAAAGCAATCAAAATAAGTGTGATTTTGGATAAGTAAGCTTTATGCCCACATAGTAAGACCTTTTGATATCACTAAACAATTTTGTATATAATTTATTTAGAATGTTTAGAATAGTTAAAGGGATATTAATCTCAGCATTTATAAGCCAATTTACTAGATTACAGAAGATACCACCGGTTTAGAAAGATTATATTAGCCAGAATCAGAAACTTGTCTTATTATGGTGCTGCATTTGGGAGAATAAGATTTACTACCTTTGTAATTACATCTTGATATGTCTAAAAAAAACTTCACTGATTAAATGTGTAAATGGGGGAATTTTATCAATTTTACGAAAATATAAAGTGAAAATGACATTTTAAAAAATTAGGACAATCATCCATAAAATAAGATCTGTACATAAAAATAGGCTGAAAAAAATAAAGCTTAAGATAAAATAATAAAAATAAAACTTAAAACTAAGGTTAAGATTTATAACTTCAAGCACTACATATTAATAAAGCAAACATAATTATAATATTATTTTCTATGATCAAAATCTCCCCTTAGGCAATAAAAGCCTATTGGCACTATGAGCAACAATAACAGCAAATGTGTGTTGAGCACACAAACTTCATGGAAAGCCTATACTGAGTACTAAGAAAAAGGGAACAAGTGTTCTGTCACAAGTTGCTCAGAGAACTAAGTAAGATACTAAAACACTATACCAAAAGACAAAATGTGAGAAATGACACAAACACAAGGACTCTAGGATAGCTGTTTTACTGAAAAACACACCATTTTGTAATTACAAATGGTGGCATGGTGATGTTTCAGGTGGCTAAGGCCAAGAGAAAGCAGATTTCTAGAAGAGTCTTTACGGCATGAAGAAGTGTATTCCCCCTCCATCACAGCATGAGTACATGTGATAACTTTCTTACTCAAATTTCCTAGTTATGATAGAAACCCTACTTCCCAGAAGTGCATTAAAGATCAAATATACTCTCACTGACTTCACCATGTCCCCATTTAGAGCCTTACTCAATACCATATATAGGTTCAGTTGTTTTCTAAGGATTAATCCTTGAGCAGGTTCATTTGAAGTTGAAAGAACTATACACTATATATGAAAAATGAAACCAATATTAGGAAGCACATTTCAAAATCTACTCAAATGCAAATTATATATTGCTCTTTAGGTAATTCTTTAGAATGAACATTTGGTGCTTATCTGTTGGTTATTATTTCTGTGATTAGATACAAATGGGCAATGGAAGATTTTATATTAATCACTTTCCTTGATCTGCAATAAAGAAATGCAAGAATAAAAACTAGAAATAATTTTTAAGGTCTTTAACATTAAGAGTATTTTAAATCATGTTTTTTCTTTTGATAATTTCTGAAATTAATTGCTAGGAAGCATTTCATTCAGTTAAAATAATAAGCTTTTTCATACACTCAACATTTATGACTTTCAAATGAGTGCTTTCCTAGTTTTTATCTTTATTCCATTCTAAATTGCATTGTATTAGCAATTTAAAAGTCAGGGTTATTGTTAATCCTATTTTAAAAATAAATTTAGACATCATGAGAGAGAGTCAATGAGTTAAATAAAACTTGAAATTGCTTTAGAAGATATACACATAACCTTAGAAACAAACACACAAAATAATTTTTATAGTCAAATAATCTGACCACGTAGAGTATATGAAAAAGAAAATACCTTAAAATAACCAAGGGTAAAAGGTGGCAAGAAGGTGGCAGATGATTAAAGAGCATTTAGAATGAGATGGAAAATACATAAAATGTGTTTATTAAGAATGCTTTAATACTAAGGATTCAGTAGTTCTACAGTGAGACAATAGGTTTTCCTATATATCCCATGTGTTATGACAATGTCCTTATACCTCACACTCTTGGGCACAATCTCCTAAAACCAGCACAAAGTATTCATGTCTTCAGTCTTGTCACTGGAACAGGGAAACTAAAATAAAGAAACTCTCTATTGCCATTAAAAACATTTAAAAAATCAAACTATATATCAACTGCTTCAATTCTCTTCCTGGGATAAAGCAAGGTACATACCTATAAGTAAATAAACATCAAACAAAAATTAATTTTGGTTACTACAACACCAGTAACTAGTGGCTTTGACTTGAGCAACTTCTTGGAATAAAAATTTTAAATTTGTTTAACTGTCAGATCAATGATATGTTACTACTATTTTTCCAGAATTAACTCTTAATACCACATAAAACCTTTGGATTAAAAAAAAATCTGTGATAAAATTTTAAATAATTATTAAAACAACTTACTTTCTTCTTTCTTGCTAATAATGGCAGGCAGGGTGTAAATCTAAAAAACAAAGGAAGTCTAATCAGTTAATGACCCTGCACAGAAGCAGGGTATGTCGGTACAATGATACACAAAGGGAGTATCTTGATTTCAAGGTCCTACAATTGGTGCATCCATAGGGCCAACTCCCTACCCTGTCAACCTACCTTGTTTCCCACTTCTTTCCATCATGGCTGTCTGTCTAGCCCTGAGCAAGGTTCTAACCCCTTTCATCTGACTTATATATCTCATTCTATTACCTGACATGATGCACAGAAGGTATCCTTTCTTCAGGATCTCATGAATTTTATCAGGTTACTCCTTCCTCAAATTATCTCCTTAGTGTTTTGTTCTCAATATGTAGAGCCCTAACTTGTACCTGAGCCGTCACACCATCTCCTAAATCTGCTCTAGGTCAGGGCTTACCTCACAACTATTAGCGGCAAAGAGTCAAATCATTTTGTTTTAATTTTCAACTTTTAATTGGCAGATATTTTTATAAGTTATAATAAAATATAATAAACATAAAGAATAGATGCAGTCCAAATTTTTTATTATTAAACTCAATAGATAAAAAATGACTTCTCCAAATTGCTATAAAATTTTCCAGATGCTTGATCATAATTTCTGCACTCAGTTTATTGTGGACTGGTAACAGTTTGAGGGATGGCCTCAAAGTCTAGGGACCACACTTTATATGTATGTTGTTGCATAGGTACTTTGCACAAGGTTGTTTACAGATTCTTTGCCAACTAAAGGATAGTTCTCAAGGGACAGAACAGGACCTCCTATTTTTCTCTGTGTGCTCATACCTCCAACCACCCAATGCAGTGTTCTTCACAAAGAAAACAGACAGACAGTGATCAATGATTTATTCCCTTTTTTACATAAGCCTAATAATTTCAAGTAAATTATCATGCCCACATTGAAATAACTATTAAAACAGAGGAGATATGGATGGAAGGGAAAATGTCAAGCCACAAGGCAGTTTGACCAAATGAGACTTATTTTTTTAAAGATTTATTTATTTATTTTGGAGGGAGGGGCAGAGGGAGAGAAAAAAAAAGAAATCTCAAGTAGACTCCCTGCTGAGTGCAGAGGCAGATGCAGGGCTCAGTCTCAAGACCGTGAGATAATGACCTGAGCTGAAATCAAGAGTTGGATGCTTAACTGACTGAGCCACCCAGGTGCCCCACCACATGAGACTTTTAAATAATGATAGAGACCACAGGATTAGTTCTTACCCTGAACGTTTGCTCATCACACTGATCATGAAGCCTAGCACAGGCCTTGCAAAGAGTGGGGACTCAATTATTAACTCAATAAAATAATCCAATCAGCACAGCCAAGTTAGTGATAAGTAATTTGTTAAAAAGTAATCTTAGGATTTCACTCATATGTGGAACATAAGGAATAGCATAGAGGACAACAGGGTAAAGGAAGGGAAAACTGAAGGTGGGGAAAATCAGAGAGGGAGACAAACCATGAGAGACTATGGACTCCAGAAAAAAATCTGAGGGTTTCAGAGGGGAGGAGGGTAGGGGGATGGCGTAGCCGGGTGATGGGCATTAAGGAGGGCACGTGATGTGATGAACCACTGAGTGTTATACACAACTAATGAATCATTGAATACTACATAAAATACTAATGATGTACTGTATGGTGGCTAACTTAACATAATAAAAAAAAAAGAAAAGAAAAAAAAAGTAATTTTAGGTTTAAATCTGGAAGTCCCCCTGCGAAACAAATTAAGACAGTTACACAGTGAGTGAGACAACACTAGAAAAACAGTAAGAGTCTCTACTCTGATTGCTATATTAATATTTTCAAATATAATGCAGACATAAAAAAAATTCTGATGTAGTTTCTAATTAGAACAATAAAACCTAAATTATAGAATGTGTTAATATTCTTACCGGTTCTTTACCATCCATGGCTTCAAGCCAGAGTTTCCGATTAGCTTCTGAGAATGCCTGCAATGTGATGATTCCATGTCTGTTAAAAACAAATATTTTATATATTCAATTTATTCCTGTTATGTCTTTACACATTTATTATTTTTTGTGTTCTTAAAGGTAAAGGTAAAACTTGAAGAAAAAGCAGGAAAGAAAAAAAATGAAAGGAGAGAAAAAGGAAAAAGAAAAGAGAAGAAAAAAATAATTTAAAGAATGAAAGGAAAAAGACTGATTTATAGCTACCTTTCAGAAAAATCACTGGGGGGACACATACACATATACATACACACAAACAAATATTTTTTAATTCTAATGGTTGCAGGTAGTAAAATCATTGGTTTAGGTATAACTGCCTGAAGGAGGCTAGTTTCAAACTATTTCCTCTGAAATGACCAAAAAAGATGACAAAGTTACATTCACCAAAGTTCAGGACCACCTAAATGTTCTACAGTATGAGAATGATTAATATTATGACCCCAATGTGTTACAATCTAGTCACCAAAAATAATTACAAAGAGTATATAGTCATATGAAAAGTTTCATACCATAATTAGCTATTAAAAAGACACTAAACCAAAGTGTTTATACCATGATCACAATATTAAAATTAATTCATTTAAAAACCATTCTTTCCCATGTACCCATTCTGAAATAGTTAGTTGAGGATGTACTTCAAGACAGAGAGAGTGAGCAAAGGGAAGGAAGAAAGCAATGTAAGATAGATAAAGACATGAAATTCAGAAATAGTTAAATTAACCTAGTTAACTGTACAGATTGTCCAAAAAATAAATTTAAACAGGACATTAAAGGGTGCCTGGGTGGCTCAGTTGGTTAAGCAACTGCCTTCGGCTCAGGTCATGATCCGGGAGTCCTGGGATCGAGTCCCGCATCGGGCTCCCTGCTCAGCAGGGAGTCTGCTCCTCCCTCTGACCCTCCCCCCTCTCATGTGCTCCCTCTCTCTCACTCTCTCTCTCAAATAAATAAATAAAATCTTTAAAAAAATAAATAAATAAATAAACAGGACATTAGAGGACTCTGTGAAAAGGTACACTGAGGAGGAAATTTCAGTTAAATACTGTATGATTGAAACCTGGTATGACTTAGAACTGTGATGAAGGCATATTATCTCTTGTGTAAACAGGAAAACAGATCACTGGAATGACAGGAACAGGAAAAATGTATATGAAGATCAAATCCATTTGATCTTGGAGAATCTAAGCCAGCATCAACTAAAATAACAAGATAATTTTTGGGGGCTATTTATTATGTGCCAGGCACTATGTTATAAATGTGTCTCCTTTTTTTATCTAATTTAATCCTTATAGGAACCCTTTGAGGTGGGTACTTATTATCCTTATTTTACAGATGAGACAACCAAAGCACAATTTAACAATGTGTCCCAGGGTTATGGAACTAAAAAGTGCTGAAATAAAGAAAAATCGCTAGCATGTTGGCATCTGTCTAGATAGAAAATCCAGAAGTTCCTACCACAAAACTATTAAAATCAGTAAGGAGCTCAACAACTATGCTGGATATAGATTAATATATTAAAAAGATTAATAGCCTTTCAATACAGGAGTCTCAACCATTTGGAAAAAATATACTAATGAATTCTATTCAAAATTGCAATAAAATGAAAACACTCAAGAATAAATCTTAAAAAAGTATAAAATCTTCAAAGAGAGTTCAACTCTCCATCAATTATTTAATAACTTTAACGCTACTCCAGTCAAAAATCCCAAAGGATTTTTTTGGAAAGAAGGGGAAATGTAATAAGTGGATCCATAAAATCTAAGAACACAGTGCCAAAATATTTAACACAATTTTAAAGAAGCATAAAAAACAGGGGCCTTGCCCTACTAAGTAGTTTACAAGCTACATGTATGTAAACTATAGTATATACAGTACACATTTTATATAGTGCACACACACAAAGCTAGACTATTGAGAAAAGTATGGTAGTAATGCAGGGGAAGAAAAAGAGATCATGGAATAGAAGAGAGATCAAGAAGTATACCCATTCTTATTGAGTTTCTGTTCTTCTTATATTGATACAAGAAAAAAAAAAAGGAGAGCTAAAAATCCCCACTAGGTTATAAACTCGCATGCACAACATTTATGTCTCTCCCAATATTCTGTGGCTAAGAATGTCCAGAACGGTGCTCTGCACGGAGCAGGCGCACTGAATTTCACTGGCTGAAGGAAACTTATGGCATTTCCAGCGGTGTCTTATTACTCCTTCGAAGCAAAGGCCACCAGGCTTCAAAAGTCCACAAAAAAGCTTATCCAGGAGTGGTAAACAATATTGTCAGAATCATTCATAGTGATGGGAACTCAAATCCACCACACATCACCTAATGCAGTCATTTATGTTAATTCCCCGAATTCTTCTTTGAGTGATGTTGCTTTTTGCTAGCATCCTTTGTCTGATTTATTTTTTTGAAAGCATCGTGCAATATATATTTGTTGAATAAATACATAAAAGAATGAAACAAACATGCATACTGTTTTTAAAGACTGAAAAACAAGTACTTGTTTCATATTTATATCTAAACATAGAAACAAATAATTTAGTTTATTAAAAAATATAAAGTGAAAAGAAAACCTCAAACCTTTCAACTACTTCTATGTCAAAGCAGAATCGTTTGTCAATTGAATCTGTCTTTCGTCGGATACAAGATTTCAATTTAAACATTTCTGGTGAACCAGTAACAAGGCCATTCTGAAACAAGAAGGAGAACACATTATTGACATGACAACAAGGGCAACTGGAAAATACTAAATATGCCAACTAAGGTTGCTGCACTAAAATGTCAAGTACAGGTTATGTATAAAGGTCATAATCACATCTTGTCCTCTGAGTACAGACTTTTTGCCTAATGTTAACTGCTCATTTATAATGCAATTCATAAATTAATCACATACACATTTTTTTCCTTTATTTATTTTTCTTATTATTATGTTATGTTAGTCACCATACATTACATCATTAGTTTTTGATGTAGTGTTCCATGATTCATTGTTCACGTATAACACCCAGTGCTCCTAATACCCATCACCAGGCTAACCAATCACCCCACCCCCTCCCCTCTAGAACCCTCAGTTTGTTTCTCAGAGTCCATCATACACATTTTAAAGAATTCTGTAGCATGCCTATCTAATAGTCTTAAACATATTTACTTATGTTAAATTGCACCACAATGTACATTCTTTAGAACCTCAGATTTAGGAAAAGTGTGAAATCATAGTTACCATAATGTCACAATTAGATATACAGAGCTTGTCAGGATACAACACGGTTGCTTTGGCATCAAAATGCCCTAGGTTGCTAAGAGATTAATATTGTTCATTTGTGTGTGTGTGTGTGTGTGTGAGCATGAGAGCAAGTATGTATAAACATGTGCATGTGTGTTTGTGCATTAGAGCCTTATAGCATTAAACGGTAATTGGCTCAAAGTCTCAGGAGAGCTACCAAAATAATATATTTCTAGTACTTACTTGTTATAAATGTACTGCTATCATACACACCGCATGACTGCTTTGCTGGTAACCAATTGCTACTCTGCTACTAAACCGTATCTCTTTGGGAGGATCCAACATAAGCTCGAGTCATAAGAATTCTCTTCTATACCTGAGACACCAGTCACCTTAAGGGGAATATTTACCTAATGTCTGGTTAATTCTACTATCTTTGGTTACTAAGATCATAGATTTATTAACAGAACTTTGGCTTGGGTCTATTTGCTAATAGCTCACTGACCGTCAAATAAGCTGACTTTTAGGCAACATCTTTTATTATGAAACCTTTGTAGTACACACTAGGCATGATTAATAGCACTTCTCATGATGGTAGGAACTGAAGGTTTCTTTTGCTCTGGTATGTTCTCCTTTATATTATGTCTCTCCATTTGAATTATTAGACTCTATCGAATGCCCAAGCACAATAAGTTTCAGCTGATGTATTTGAGTATATATCTAAGTTAGATCAGCATTTACCTCTGCTCTGATCTATACCACAAATTACCTGGGTGAGTCACTTACTTTCTACCACCTTGATTTTCTAATCTGTTAAAATAAGGCTGGACTAAATAATCTTTAGGATAACTCTCAGCTCTAGGATTCTTAGATGATGGTCCCAATTACCTGATATCTTAAGTTCAGTCACTTGCCATATTCATATCATAATTCACAAAAAGATTATACACTATATATAATAAAGGTGTTGTACTCTGTAGCACTTCCTCATGCAATGTACACTTTGTTCCATACTGTTCACTAACCATGCAAGACATCCAGTGACCAATTTACTTTTGGAGTAAATGGGTATCAACTGATTTCTTCTGAATGCTGGCCAGCATTTCAGTAAACAGTACACAGTGTAGAAGAGGAAGAGGCATACAGAGGCAAAAGGCAACCTCCCACAAAGGTGACCTGGAGGAAAGATGCAGAGTCCTCGAGCCTGGTCCAGCCACCAGGAGTCTCTGCTAAGGTGCCAGCCAACTAACAGCATAAACAACTCAGCGCCAGGGATGTGAGAAGAGACATCTAACATCTAACATTTAACTCAACTGTTTATAAACATTCCATGGTAAGGTAAAGGAAAATCCTGGCTGCTCTTTTTTAAGTCATCAAGATCACTGAAGTTAGAGAAAACTTTTTCAACTTCTCAATTTTTAAAAACTGTTTACATGACAGACTATGGACTCTGAGAAACAAACTGAGGGTTCTGGAGGGGAGGGGTGTGGGGGAGGGGTTAGCCTGGTGATGGGTATTAAGGAGGGCACGTACTGCATGGAGCACTGGGTGTTACATGCAAACAATGAATCATGGAACACTACATCAAAAACTCATGATGTAATGTATGGTGATTAATATAACATAATAAAATAAAATTTAAAAAAAAGCAAGAAAATATGATTTTATTTTATTTATTTATTTATTTTTTACTTCCATTACTTATCTAATAAGTTCAGATTTAAAAAAAGAAGAAGAAAACTCACCATTTTCCCACTGGATTTCATTTCTGAAACACTCATTGTAAATGTTTTACTTCCCTTATCATATGTACAATAATGTTTAATCCATGTAAAACCAAGTGGTCCTGATGTAAGGAAACAAACATTACAGATTGTTAATAAATGATTTGTGACTATGTTTGTACAGTTTTTGATGCTATGAGACACAAGTGAACGTCTTCACAGGCCATGCTGGTTTAGAATATTTACTGTGAGAAAGGCCAGTGTGAAGGGCGAGTTGTATGGGGCACAACGTCTGGGAATCAAACAACTTGGCTCTGCTTGCTTGTAGCACCAGCACGCTCCACTGTAACTCAAGAGTCACTTTAGATACGAATTTCAGTTATCTCCTCAGTAAAAGTGGCATACCTTACATTCCCAAGAGGTATAGCAAGAACGAGAAACAGCCTATAACTGATCTCCTTATTTCTATCCTTTGTCCTTTATTCTTAAAACTGTCAGAAATACTCTACTAAATACTAAATACAGAAATACTCTACTAAATACTCTACTAAAAATTTAACCAGTTAATTTCATCCTCTTTGTTCAAAACCTCCTTTCCCACTTCACTCCAGGTAAAAACCAAAGAGCCCATTACTATACACAATGCCCACATGCTCTGGCCCCTCCTTACTGATCTTACCTCACATCTTACTACCTTCTGCCTCATCCACATTGCTCTAGTTACACAGCCCCCCCCCGCTGATCCTTGAACACAGGGAACGCACTTCTGCCCCAGGGCATTTGTACATCCTGTTCCCCTAGCCTGGACTATTTTTCCTTCAGATATCTGCACGGCTTACTTTGTCACTTCTCCAGGTCTTTTCCTAAATGACATCTTTACAATATGGCCTTTCCTACAGAGGTATCTAACATCTCGGCACCCTCACCTTAGTATTTCCTATCTCTTTCTTTATTTTCTTCTTAGCAGTTACCACTGTCTAAAATAGGATAAATTTTATGAATTCTATTTATTGTCTGTTTCTGCCACTAGACTCTAAGGCTCTATGAGAGCAGGAACATGTGATGCTCTGCTCACTAGTATATTCTTAATCCTTAAAACAGGGCCAGACATCAGCTGTCGCTCAATCAATTCTTGACAAATGAATGAAGAAATGAATCATTTATCTTTCTAGACTTCACTGACCTTGGAGTTATTTCTTCTTACCACTAATCTGAAAATAAGTGAACTCAAAAAACTCCTTAAACTGAAAATAACTTTTACTTCCCATTTTAAAATAAAGTTATATATGTATAGTGCTCATTTCCCCCTATAAATACTGTACAACTCTTTCCCATAGCATACCACATTATTTTCCTATATTCTCCTTAAGGAATTAGATGCTGCTGCTTCACCAGGGAATAGGGATGCATAGTAAGTTCAATTTTTCCATGACCAAGGTAAACCCTCAGTCTTCCCAGAGAGAAGGCAATTATCCTGCATCTATATGCCACGGTGGGCTCCTGAGTGGGTTGAAAATGGAGTTTGTTTTTTACACAACTTCTCCATCTAGGGTCCCATCCTGCTTAATATCTGCATCCTTCTAGCAACAATTATGTACAATCTTATTGCTAGCTTGGTTTCATAACCATGTATTTAAAAAGCAAGAGACTGTAATATAAAAATGTACTACTTGCGAAAAGTATTATATGAGGCATTTGAATTTTTTTTCTGTAAAAACAGTGCCCTTGGTGTCATATTTAGCTTTAAAATACTTAACCCCAGATCTCAAAATTATAGGGTACAGCTATAACTCTGTAATCACAAAGGATTATTATAATAAACTTCAATTCTGTTTTAGGGCCATTTGATACTCTAATACTTAAGCATACTTGTTGATTAATTCTGTTACATGCAGTATAAAACACTTGAAGGCTTAGAGCTGATTAGTGGAAAGTGGCTGGATGAAAATCCTTATAGTGACTTTATTACTTAGGAAGAAATTTATAAAGGAACATTAGCAATAATTTTTATTTTTTATTTTTTTTAATTTTTTTTAATTTAAATTCAATTAGCACTGGGTGTTATATGCAACTAATGAATCACTGAACATTGTATCAAAAACTAATGATGTACTACTATATGTTGGGTAACTGAACTTAAGCAAAAATTTTTAAATAAAGCTGCCGCAATGCTCTGATGACATTTTAGATCTAAGTTGTTTTCTTCTTGCCTCCATCTTAAATTCAGAACCTCATGCATTTAATCTTCAGGTTTGTAGTACACACATGGTACTTCCTTTAAAGTTGCTTGACACTAGGCCAGGGCAGATGTTCCTAGACAAGAAATTCTGAGGTCCTTACAAAAAAGTGTGGGAAAATAAAAATTTATTTTATCTCTAAAGCTGCAAAATAAAAGAAGTTTAGGGGTTCCTGGGTGGTGTAGTCAGTTAAGCGTGGGACTCTTGGACGGCTCAGGTAGTGATCTCAGGGTCCTGGGACTGAGACCCACGTCAGGCTCCATGCTGCACATGGAATCTGCTTGAGATTCTCTCTCTCCTCTTCCTCAGCCCCTTCCCCTCCCCCGGCATGCTCTCCCTCTCTCTAAAATAAATAAATAAATCTTTAAAAATAAATGAATAAAATAAATTTAATTATCTTACCCAGTAATCACCTGAGGTTGCTGAGATGATATTTGTGGAATGGGAGGAAATAACATTCACTAAATACCTACCAAGTGTCCACATTTCATCTAGAAACTTTTTAAGTCAGATATTATATGAGATTCATGTGCTACTTACCGCCCTGAGAAGGCAGGTTAAGTCAGACATTATAAAGAGCATTTTACATAAAAGAAAATATACCCTAAGAGCTGGAGATGGTACTACTTTCTCCATCAATAGGCATGTGATTGGAGTTGCTCTTTTTAGAGGAATAATACTTCTCAACAGTTGTTTTAAGAATCTAATGAGATAAATATAAATTGCATGGAACAGTAAATGTTCATGGTAAATATTATGCACCACTACTGACAATAGAGACATTTTACATATATCACCTCTATTCTTGCAACATCATTACTAGATAGGTATGAATATCTTTCTTTTATAAATGAGGATACTGAGCTCAGAGAACTGTTTGTCCAGAATCACCCAGTAACAGGTTGCAGGCATGGAATTCCAACTCTTCCATGCTCTTCCTGTTTAAAATGAAGTCTATTTTAACTACCCTACGATCCAGCAACTGCACTACTAGGTATTTACCCAAAGATAAAAGAATACAGATTCGAAGGGGTCCATGAACCCTGATGTTTACAGCAGCATTATGAACAATAGCCACACTATGGAAACAGCCCAAGTGTCCATCAATTGATGAATGGATAAAGAAGATATATATATAATGGAATACTACTCAGCCATCAAAAAATGAAATACTGCCATTTGCAGAGTTGTGGCTAGAGTGCATTATGCTAAGTGAAATAAGTCAGTCAGAGAAAAACAAATACCATATGATCTCACTCCTATGTGGAATTTAAGAAAGAAAACAGATGGACATATGGGAAGTGGGGCGAGGAGAAAGGGAAACAAGCCATAAGAGACTCTTAGAACAGAGAACAAACTGAGGGTTGACAGAGGTAGGTGGGTAGAGGAGGGGCTAGATGGGCAATGGGTATTAAGGAGGGCCCTTGTCATGATGAGCACTGGGTGTTGTATGTTAGTGATGAATTACTGAATTCTACTCCTGAAACCAATACTGCAGTGTATGTTAACTAAAACTTAAATAATAAATAAATAAAATGAAGTCTATTAGAATGCAATTTATTTTTTTTAAGATTTTATTTATTTATTTGACAGAGAGAGACATAGCAAGAGAGGGAACACAGGCAGGCGGACTGGTAGAGGGAGAAGCAGGCTTCCCACTGAGCAGGGAGCCCTGTGTGGGGCTTGATCCCAGGATCCTGGGATCATGACCTGAGCCGAAGGCAGAAGCTTAACGACTGAACCACCCAGGCTCCCCTAGAATGCGATTTAATGTATGCCTAGAAGTGGGTAACACAAAAACCACATATCCAGATAAAGTGGAGCTCTGTGTCCAAACTGCAATGATCTGCTACTATTACCCCATCACATCCACCTTCATTTATCAATTTATAGTTCTGATATTTATTATTGATCACTGGTTACTAATTGCACGAGTTTGTTTTATGCCTTCCACTACAGAATAAAGACCCTGGAGCCGAATTCTTTATCTCATCTTCTATTCCCCATAGAACTTATTAATTCAGTGATAGCAACAGTATAATCAGTATGTTTTAGTGAGCTGGTCTGATTTTCTTATAAATGCTTTCAAAGACCAAGGGAAAAGGGGCTTCAGATTATGTCCCTCATACAAAGATAATTCCAAAGGGATACAAATCCATTCATTTTTCTTTTTAAATCTCTAGGCAATGGGAAGTGGGGAGATGATGAGTAAGAAAAAGAGAGAAGGATTATACTAGGGCATGAGAGCACTTTTGAAGGTGATGAATGTGTTCATAGTGGTGATGGTTTCATAGGTCATATATATATATGGCAAAACTTAACAAATTATAATTTTAAATATTTACCATCATTGTATGCCAATTGTACCTCACTAAAGCTGTAAAAACAATGCAGGTGAATATAGAGAAAATTGAGATGAAATTATCTTAGGAGTAGGAGGGCAACCTCAAAGGAGAAGATACTAAAGAGGAAGTCCAACTGTTCAAGTCTCAAAGGCCACACACCACTAAAGGGGGCCATCATAGGAGGGGCACAACAAGCCAGCATTGTGGAGGGATGTGTCAGAAGCTCTGCAGAGGATAGATTACAGACAGGCAAGCCTAGAGGCAGAAAGAGAGCAATTATGAGGCCAAGGAAAGACTGTGGAGATGAGAGAAGGTGTGGGTTCAAAGGTTATCAAGGAGATAAAATGGAGAAAGTTGGCCCTAGGTTACAGGGAGACACTGGAGTTAAGGAGTAAGGGATTTACCTCCAGTCTTTAGCCTAGGAAGACGGGTGGTATCACTTAGAAATTTCAAAGAAAAGGTCAGTGTCACATAGGGCTTTATAATCAGCTCAGACTGATCCAGAGGAGAAGTCATGTATCTTAAAACACAAGATACCAACATCAGATGGGTGCATAAAACACTGAATTTTGTGCACCCATGCAGTCCCCAAATTATTAAAGGGCCTGTGCTTATCTTCTGACCCAAATGTCCAACAGCTGTAGAATGAGTAAGTAAACTACAGCACTATCCAATGGATGGACTCCCAAGTACCAAATAAACATGATATACTTGAAGATTAATGTACAAAACAATTTTCTAGGCAATCCAAAGCTTTTTTCTTTAGAACAAAATATTGTGTACCCACAAGGACTTCAGCAACTTTGTAACACTGGGAGATTAAAAAAAATCAAGAAATAAAATATTACTGAGTCTTAATGAATTAAAAAAAAAATCTTTAAGCAAGAGGATGGCACCTCCTCTACCACAAGCATGTTTGGACAAGCCTCTTTACCAACACATTTTTCTGCTCAGCAAAATATTTTATTGATCAAAATGTAATCTCCTCTCAATGTATCCCCACACTGAGGTTTTCAAGTCTGAAACAGTTATTCAAAACAAGTATTTAAAAATTTTCTAAGTGTCCTGAGTTAAATCCATATACCCTGTTTGTGACCAATGAATTAGGGTTTTTTTTTTTTTTCATGAAATTGTGGTGAAAGTGTTTTATTATGGTCTAATTACAGAATAGCTAGGCAGGTCATTAGATTTATTTTAACATCCAAAACCAGCAGACTGGTCAAAGTCAATACTGATGACAGAGAAAAATCCTGAAACCCAGATCTCCTGAGCCAGCAGCCCTCTATCATCTAATCCATACAGTAATAAATATTTGCTGAGTCTGTTGGATCAAATCATTATTTGCTTGTACACTGCTATCCAACAAATGAGCATCACCTGAGCATGTCAAAACATAAAATGTGCTGGGATTTTACTAATCATATTGCATTAATGTCAAAAACTTTCTCAGCCAACCCAGTAACTCTAGCTTTCCCATCTCAACCCTTTAAACTATAACATCTTACAAACTAACCAAAACAACTTCATTAATCTATCATTACTGATATGGAGACTTCAGAGCAGCACTACTCTATGTGTTTTTTGAGTCCCAATATATGAGAATAGTACAGAAAGTAAAAACAAGCATTTCAAAACTTTTACAATGTTTTGGCATTAGTGCAAAATCCAAGCATATGATTGCGTGTTTTACAAAGACACAGATCCATAACGGATTGGAAATAACAACAACTGTTCCTTTAGCAAAACAGGATGAGACTGTGCATTAGAGCATATCTGGTTTGAAATAGTTAATTTAGTCAGACTGGTTCCACTCAATGCAAGTATCATGCAGAAAGAATCCTATTTATACAAGTTTGAATGGCTTTTTATTAATTTTTGTGAGAAAACTTTCTTAGTGTGAGCAATTATAATAGTGCCCTATCACTTCTGATGCTTATTTCCTAACCTCAGAAAGTAAAAAGTGACAATCTGACATTACATAATTGCCAGTTTTACTCCTGAAAATGGGATGGAGCACAGAATTTAATGAAATAATGCTGTAGGAAGAGAAAGTATTATCATAGTCACCAGGATGATTCATACTGATAAAGGCTTTCAATTTCAATTTTCCATTAAAGTTCAAATTGAGATTAGCTATTACAATGAAATTCTAAAACTGAACTCATGTTACCGTATCATCACTGAAGGTTGTAAGTTCCAAGTTCAATAATATGCCAACTTGGAGATCCTGATGGCGAAATGTGGAAAAGCTTCCTCACTTTGATGGTGGTAGTGGGAGAGCAGACTAAATATGATAAAGCTGTAAGGAATTGCAGTCTTCCTATTTGAAGGAAAAAACACTAACCAAGTCAAATGTTAATCATAAGACTCATTAAGTTATGTCTTTGTGACTCACGTTTCTCCTGGACATAAAGGTAGCCTTCCATTGTCCACTGGCTGGGTGGTCTGTAATCTTGGTTGGCAGATTTCATTCTTTGCATCAACCGCTCTACCTCTTGTCGAGTACTTTCAAAATTATTCCTTGTCTTAAGTAAATAGAAACAACAATTTCATTCATTATTCCTACCAGTTTTGAGGAACTTCCAGTCTAAAGTTTCAAAATGGCAAGTGGTGCAAAAGGATAACCTTGATTCTCTCAGCACTACTCACCACATCCGGGACCTTATACATTGAGTCCTGTGGCTTTAGTGAATTGCTTTAGTGAAACATGAACGTGCACAGTGAAACACCACCTTCTGTGGTGTGCGTATGTGTATACTTTATTCCTATTTCCAACTCTAACATTATTACTTAGGGGACAAATCATAACATTTATAAATATAATATTTATGAAATAGAGTTTTATATTCACTAATACCCAACGTAAAAAGCAGATATATAGGGACTTATATTTCTTTCTTTTTTTTTTCCTGTGAATTGTTTTTTTTTATTTTTTTATTTTATTATGTTATCTTAATCACCATACATTACATCATTAGTTTTTGATGTAGTGTTCCATGATTCATTGCTTGCATATTTCTTTTGGGGGACAGAGACAAAATAAATTCACATACTTTTATGTGGCACTTAGCAAAAAAAAAAAGTTCATCACCCATATTCTTAAAACCTTTTAGAAGAAATATCATTTAGTTTGGTTTCCAGAAATAGTTATCATGAGTTTAGTGTATAAATTAACTCATAAAAATGAATGGGTTTGCTAGTTCTAACTTCTATTACAAAAAATAGTTTACTCACATTACAGCAAGTTTACTTAAGGGAAGATATAGAAAGCATAAGGCTTTTCTCAATCTCTTTTGCATTCCAGCCACATTATTTCAACAATTTGTTTGAAAGCAAGCAATATGTTTGGAAACAAAAATCACTACCACCCAACTCTAAAATTTGTTATGGCCCATAATAAAAGAACTGAATCCCGAAGTAAGGAAAATTTTCTTAATTGCCACTTTTGCTACTTAAGCTTTTTTTTTTCAAATTCTTTTAAACATAAGGACCATAAATTTGCCAATTCCTTACATTCCTCTCTTGTTCTCGAACTTCAGGAATCTTAATATAATTATAATTCATATGGAAATAAATCATAAAAATATTTTGGCCTTCAAAATTTTCCCTTTTAATATTTACTAAAAAGGTCCAAATGCATTCCATATTGAAAAACAATCAAATGACTTACATGTGAAACCAATTCTGCTAGAAAATCTAGATTAAATAAAAAGCTAAAACCCAAAACACAAGTAGAATAAATCCAATTGCCTATTTCTTATGGGACACTCCAACCCCATAGTTCCGTTTACTGAACATCTCATCTCCACAATGGCAAGAATCAGAGAAGCAGTGAAAGACAAGCTTTTTATAGAAAATTAAGTGAAGGCTTTCCAGTTAATTTACTTTGGCCATTGAGCACTAGATTATTTTGGCCATCGAGCACTAGTTATTCAAAAATAACTTCAATTATACAAAATTCTCAACAAATAGAACTTTCTTATTTGTCAGGTTTGATAATGCAGGAATGGATTGGGTAAGTTTTGTGTGTGTGTGTGTGTGTGTAATGTAAGTGATGCTTAGCATCTGCAAATCTGAATTTGTATAACTATGAAATCAGATACAAAAAGGATTAGATAACTTTACAAAATAAACTCTAACAGAAATAGATAGGATATTTACAAATAATTCTCAATTAAGCTTTAAAGCAGTTACTATGAATGCTTAAAACCACATTTAAATTATTAGAAAATAAAAAATATCATATATATTATATACAATTTCAGAGAGGAAAAACATTCCTTCAGTGCTCAAATACAACCTCTTCATTCCTTCAGTGCTCAAATACAACCTTTTCATTTCACAAATATAGAAATGTTACCCTTTCAGAAAATAAGACTTGCCTAAGGTCACCCAGTAAAATAATGAGAACACTGGATAAAGGCAAAAGTCCCCAACCTTCCAAGTATCTATTATCTATACCTCAGTAGTATTTATTTTTATAAAACTTGCTAGCATAAGTTTTTCTAACATAATATTAGCTCCTTCTTGCTATACTTTCAACCAGCATAGAAAAAAGTGTTTTAATAAATTTTTTAAATGACTTTTCTAAATAAGATAAATTTTTAAAACACTCCAAGGTTTGGCTTGGTTATAGTTTCTCTGTCACCATCTGATTCACTAAGGAGAAGCAGTGAGAATAGGTATAGTCTTACGTTCTGCAAGTTGAACTGAAGCTGTTGCTTATATGGTGCAAATTCCTGGGCGAGTTCATATCCCTCATGGTAGAAAGTAAATAAACCCTGAAGGAATGACAAAAGCTGCAAAAATAGAGAAATGAAAGAAACCATGAAAATGTGTTTTTAAAAAGGATGATCATCAAACATAATAAATTGGGAAATTATACCTCATTCTAAATCCTCAAGCTGATAAATTTTCAACCCCTTTGTTTGGCAAAGCAGACACGTGAGTTATGAATGTGAAATAAACCACAAAAGCTAATTTTTACTTCCTTACAGTGACAGGGACAGTTGTTATAGTAACAATTCTACTATTCAAATGCATTGAAGAATTATCCAAGAGAGACAATTAATAGGGATAAAGACCCAAAGTGACATGGGTCCTACACCAGAAGAGATTCTAATCCAAGCAGAGAGATAAAACATGTGTAGATGTGAGGAAGACTAAACCAGTAAATTAGAGATAAGGAGTACCCAAGGGAAGGAATAAGAATTTGGCCAGATAAAATTAAGAAAAGTATCACAAGGTGGCAGTACTGATTCGGGTATTAAATAGACATTTTAGCAAATAGTGGGAAGAACTAAGAACAGAGGAAAGAGTTGAGCAAAAACTTGGAACTGGATACAGATTTTTCATATAAAGAGTTGGAATAAAATTCACTTTAGGAAACCACAATGTCTATTAGCCTTCTAATCCCAAACTCACATGTGCATATTTATTATGGTCTTATTCATAAAGCAAGAATGGATCTCCATGGACTTACAGGACCCAGTTGTTTATATAAATTATAACTGAAAAATAATTATTTTTTTCATTTAATTCATTGGCATTTTTATTACAAACTTGTGTACCAACTTGATCTCTTCCTACAATAAAGTTAGAAAATACTTTCCAGAAATGGCTATTTTTTTTAATTCAAACAGCATATTATGTCTGTAAACTATTATTTTAAACTAAGGAAGAAACAAAATTTGAAATTTTTATAAGTGAATAAATCTCCCACAATTTTCTCTGTCTGGGAAAATAGGGGGATTCAGCTAAGCACCAAATGGTATGTGTGTTATGATTTCCAACAGATAAATACTGGTTCTATCTGAAGACAATGACCTAATGCTTTTCCTCTATAGCGAGTCAACTTCTTACAAAGTTATGTTCATGTCAGAAAACACATACTTTCAAGCTGGTTTTAAATTGTTACATTTTAAAGAATTTCCTTCTCTTATTCAACAATTCCTGGTATGTCAAAATATATTGTTTTCCAATTTTAGAATTATTTTACATTGTCAATTTTACATCAACTGATTATTATTATCAAAACTACTCAATAGATTATCCTTTACTCAAATGATGCTACAATATATCTATTGAATTATCCAGTAATTTAAAATATATAGTCTGCACATATTGTGGTCTCATTAAAAAGAATTATACCTTTTAATTAATTGAGATTTGGATATACAGATTTAGAAGTTTTCAGAAACAAATAAGAAAATACTTCTGAAGTATATAGACAACACTACTCTTTGAAATATCCAAATAATAGTTTATAAAGTTGTTTGAAGGATTATTTCATGTTTTAATGTCTATAACTGATCCTTAATTAAACTGTCTTGTTATTAACTAGATATCATAAAAGGAAGATGATATTCTAATATCATGCTCAGTATACAGGATTTAAACTTATAAAGAAGAGCTTTAAGAATATCTGTAGTAAGTCTTCCTGTAAAACATCAAATTCCCCAAGATCTGCCTAAATAAATAAATCTATTGGCATCTTATAACAGAATTCAGATTCACTCAGTAGCAGACAATGCATGCTGAGCACCTACTAAGGAAAGAACAATTTTGAGAGAAGTACAGAGAAATTACCTACAAAGAACAACCCACCTTTTCCTTTCGTTCTACATCCAGTTTGGAAGCAACTTTTGAGAAAGTTTAAAAAAAGACAGCATGTATGAAATAACTGCCTCTAGATGGCAGTAAAGTAAAACTTTTTTAGGTTTGAAGCTCTGCTAGCTCATTTTACCCTCAACAAATTCCATGATGTTAAATTAAGGTAACTTAATAGGACAGCCTGAAAATTTTTACAAATTGCATTTCCTACATGTCATTTTCTTTGTTCAATCTGCCTGAGTGAGTGGAGCAGTGTGGAAAGACTGTCTCAGCTTACCTTAAGATAAACCTGACCTTTTAAAATAATAATAACAACTACTAAAAACTACTGAAAAGACAAATTAGGCTTTAATATTAAATCACTTTTGGGGCGCCTGGGTGGCTCAGTCGGTTAAGCATCTGCCTTCAGCTCAGATCATGATCCTGTGGTCCTGAGATGGAGTCCTGCATCAGGCTCCCTGCTCCACGGGGAGTGTGCTTCTCCCTCTTCCCCTTCCCCAGCCAGTGTGCTCACACTAGTGCTCTCAAATAAATAAATAAGGACCCCAGGATCATGACAGATGCTTAACCAACCGAGCCACCCACGCACCCCAAAAATATTAAATCATTTTTATCATCAGTAAAAGCTTATATAGCACTTTATTATTCCCAAGGGTTTTAGAATCAAATTACTATTTGTCACTCCAATAACCCGACCAAATATAAACATTGATACTGCATTTATAGATAATCATTTAGCAAAATAACTACAAGACAGCAAAGGAAAAAAACATTCATAATTCCCCAGCCCATTCATTAATCACAAAGTTTCAAGTCTTATAGACCCACAGTTACCAGCAATACTGTGAATGGCAGAAAAATGTAAGAAAAGGAGCTGGGGGCTAGCATGAGAGTGAGGGGAAGAACTCTGAAGCAACTGATGCACTAATTCTAGGACTGTTGCTCAAAATGAGCAGAAGAACTGGGATATAAAGCCTCTTATAATGGTATGATTCATTCCTTGTCTCCTAAGAAATTAATCACTGAAAATCTTAGGGAATCCACTACCAAAACTACTAGAACCGATAAACAAGTTCAGCAATGCTGCAGGATACAAAATCAATACACAAAAGTCAACTTTATTTCTATATACTTGGAATAAACAATCTGAAAATGAAATTAATTCCGTTTATAATAGTTTCAAAAGAATGAAATACTGAGGAATAATTTTTAAGTACAAAATTTATAACTTGAAAAGTACAAAACACTGCTTAAGGAATTAAAGAAAGTTTAAATAAAAGGAAAGTACTTCATGTTCATGAATTAGAAGACCTAATACCGTTAAGATGGCAATACTGCCCAAAATGATGGGCAGATTCAATGCAATCCCTGTGAGAAGCCCAGCTGACTTCTTTATGATAACCGACATGCTGATGCTAAAATTCATATGGAATTGCAAGGGACCCAGACCACCAAAACAATCTTGAAAAAGGAGAGCTAAGTATTTAGACTCACACTTTTCCATTTCAATACTCAATACAAAGCAATGGTAATCAACACAACGTGATACTGGCAGAAGTATAGACATTAAATCAATATCTAAGAATTGAGAATCTAGAAATAAGCCCACATATCTATGGCCAACTTATTTTCAACAAGGGCACCAAGACCATACAATGGGTAAAGAATAGTCTTTTCAAACAAGTGATTCTTGGACCACTGGATAACCATATGCAAAAGAATAAAGTTGTAAACCTACTTAACACCATAGACAAAATTAACTAAAGATAAGTGAATTGTACGGTTATGTTGAATTACACCCCAATGAGACTGCTCGGGGGAGACGAACCATGAGAGACGATGGGACTCTGAGAAACAAACTGAGGGTTCTAGAGGGGAGGCGGGTGGGAGGATGGGTTAGCCTGGTGATGGGTATTAAAGAGGGCACATTCTGCGTGGAGCACTGGGTGTTATGCACAAACAATGACTCATGGAACACTACATCAAAAACTAATGATGTAATGTATGGTGATTAACATAACAATAAAAATT